TCCCTGTCATTCATGCACCTGCATAGCTGTAAAAGAGTATAAAAATCCTGCCTTCAACCTGCTCAGTACCACACTCTCACGAGTGCATGGTTCCGGCCGGCAGGTAAATAAATCTCTCGGTAATTCCAATCAGTCTCTGGTCTCGTCTGTAAAATCGCTCCACAACATTTGGAGGCCCCAGCGAGATAGAGACCACTGGTCTTGCCTCCCCGACACCGGGAACGAGCATCTTGTGCCTCTACCCCGGGTCGGTGGGACGTCTGACTGGCCGAGAGAGAAATTACCGGTAAGTGCGCACGGCGGTTACCCGCCATCTGTTCTGAATATCTGCAGATCTGGTATTGGAAAGAAACGCCTGCTGGACGCAGCGCAAAGGCTACTTTCTGGTCGGAGGCGAGACGTCGTTTCTGGCCTCAGTTCCTGTTTAGGTTGTGCATCTGTTTAGATCGTCCGTCTTGTCTGTCTTGTTGCTGTCTATTGTCTGTATTGTCTGTCTTGTTGATGTTTTGTCGTCTGTTCTATTTGTCTGTCACTTGAGTGATCTTTTTCCTCAGGACGGGAAAATGGGGCAGGGTCAGTCCGTCCCGACCACCCCCCTGCAATGTCTTCTGAATAACTTTTCTGATTTCTTTAAAAGGGCTTCAGGATTCGGGGTCCCCGTCAAGCCAGGAACCCTCCGGACCCTTTGTGAATTAGAGTGGACCACTTTTGACGTAGGATGGCCCGCAGTAGGCTCTTTTGATTTGATCTTGATTAGGAACGTCGAGGCTGTGATCCTTGGGAGTCCTGGACACCCAGATCAGATTCCATATATAGAAACATGGCTGGACATCGCCAAGGTGAAGCCCGGTTACATTAAACGATGTCAACGGAAACTCCCAGGATCCACATGCCCTTCTCTCCTTACGGTGAAAAAGGGAGGAGAACCCTGCGTCAGGTTGCCCCTTACCCCATCCACGAAACCCCGCATCCTCATGGATGATCAGGCGGGGCCAGAAGATACCCTGGACACTTGGACACAACCACTGCCCTATGCCCCGAGTTCCCAGGCTTCCGGGAGCCCGCCCCACACTACCCCCAGCCCGGCCCGAATGCGGAGTGGACTTCCGTATGGCCTCTGCCCATCTGTCCCTCCGAAGTCTACTCTGCCCTTGCCATCCTCTGGCCACGGGGACAGACGGGTGTCGTCGGCCTCCCCCAATACCGGCCCTGAGCCCGCCACTCTATTGCCCCTCTGGGAGCTTGCCCCTGCGCAGGGGACGGGCCGCCCGTTCATGGTTTATGTCCCTTTCTCCACAAGTGACCTGTATAACTGGAAGCTACAGAATCCTCTTTTCTCTGAAAAACCTCAAGGTTTAATCTCGTTGTTAGAGATGATTTTTCACACACACCGCCCTACTTGGGACGACTGCCAGCAGCTCTTGCAGGTTCTTTTTACTTCCGAGGAGCGCGATCGGATTCACCTCGAGGCTCGGAAGCAGATTTTTGGCGCAGGTGGTCAACCCACCACTGACCCGGTTATTCTGGAAACGAGCCTCCCAGCCCAACAACCCAACTGGGATCCGAATACGGTTGCTGGGGAGGGAGCTCTGACCCGGTACCGCCAACTTCTCCTCCAGGGCCTCCGCGGCGCAGCGCGGAAACCGACCAATTTGTCTAAAGTAAGTGAGATAGTTCAGAGCCCCCGGGAATCCCCTGCAGCTTTCTTGGAACGCCTACTTGAGGCATATAGGCAATACACACCTATAGACCCACGAGCGCCAGAAAACGCGCGGACAATTAACATAGCCTTTGTTACACAATCGGCACCAGACATTAGGAAAAAGATTCAAAAGCTAGACGGGTTCGAAGGGAAAAACCTCAGTGAACTAGTTGAGATAGCTCAGAAGGTTTTTAATAATCGTGAGGATCCAGAAGTTGCAGGCACGAAGAAATTAACCAAAGTCGTTTTGGCGACCATGCAGGAAACTAGCAATAAGAATCGGGGGGCTCCCCGGAAGGGGGGTCGCCCCCGCCTAGAAAAAGATCAATGCGCCTACTGCAAGGAGAGGGGCCACTGGAAAAACGAGTGTCCCCGCAAGAAGAAAATGAACCAAAAAGAAAAGAGTCTCCTCACCCTTGAGGAAGACTGAAGGGGCCAGGGCTCTGTCAATTTAGGCCCCCAAGAGCCCTTGGTAACCTTAACTGTGGGGGGCCGCCCGACTACCTTCCTGGTAGATACGGGGGCAGCTCACTCGGTCCTCCGGGAGGGGGTTGGCCGTCTTACCGAAGAAAAGACTCAGATCATAGGGGCAACGGGACGACCCAGGGCGTACCCTTGGACTTCAGCTCGAGTGACTGATCTGGGAAAAGGGACCATAACTCATTCATTCTTGGTGATCCCCGAATGCCCCTTCCCCCTCCTGGGACGACACCTCTTAAGGAAACTGCGGGCTTCGGTGTCGTTCCAAGAGGACGGCACCCACCTCAGCCTAGGGTCTCCGCAGCCTGCTGCCCTTCTGCTCACTGTACCCTTGCAAGACGAGTATCTCTTCTTCGAAAGTCAGGCGATAGAAAGCCCCTCTGAGGCTTTAAAAGAACTCCAAAAAGAAGTTCCAGGAGTATGGGCCGAAAACCCTCCTGGTCTGGCGGCTCATCAGCCACCCGTCGTGGTACAGGTCAGTAGTTCGGCTACCCCATTCCGGAAACCCCAATACCCCATTCCAGCCAGGGC